GTGTACCATTCAGCCACTCCCTTGTTGCCATCACCATCCAACATCCTCATAGACACTCTTCTCTCGTCCTCGTTGCCCTGGTTACCTGGCCTCCAGACAGCTGTGACGGGGGCAGGCACAAACACCTGTAGAGGCTGGTGCCCTGCTGGTCACACACACACACACCTCCAGGTGACCCTCCTGCTGGCCCAGACTTAGCCCCCACAATTCTGACCACAGGCTCCTTCACCCCAGCTCCAAAACCTAGCCGGCCCACACTCCTACAGAGGGCCATTCATGTCCCATTAGTGTCCCAGCAAGGCCTGGGATAGCTGTGCTCTGTCAGGAATTTGCACCAGGAAGCCAGTGGCCCAGGGGAGGTCTGGGCCAGGCGCCCAGCCCTGCTGAGGCCAAGAGTCTCCTGGATGCAGGCTTTGGGCCTTAGCTGAGCTTTGTATTTCAGGGGAGAGAGGGAGACTCCGACCCCAGTGGGCTGGGCGCCGGGACCTGGTCATGATTCGGGGCTGGCTGGGTCAGCTAGGCTCTCCTCTTTGGAGCCATTTGTTGTGGCCCCCACTGTGGTGGGGATGCTCTCTCCTCAGAGCCCCTAGTCCCTATTCCCAAAGCAAGAAACCCTAGACCAGGAAATTAGTTAGCAGATCCCATTCTGCCCCTGTTGAGGCACCTGGGGACCTCCTGCCTCTTTCCACTGATTCAAAACAGCTACCATTTATCAAGTGCTACATATTTGACATTAATTTTATTGAATCATCCCTGCAAGTCCCTGAGGAAGGTGGTATTATCCCATTTTACATATGAACAAAGTGAGGTTTGAGGGGGTAAATGATTTGCCCAGCGAATGCATGACAGTCATGCTTAGAACGTGGATGTGTCTGACCTGCTCTCACCTCTGAACTCTCTTGACTCCCTTTTCACCGTGCCTCCCTGCCCTTCAGTCTGTCTGTGCCTCCCCAGCCTTTCTCTGAACCTCTGTGTGACTCCTTCCTCTGCTCCTTTCTCTTTGCCCCATTTCCCATCTCCCCTACTTCCTCTCCCTCCCTGATCCAGAAACACAAAGATAATTCACTATACAGTGAATTGTGTACCATCAAGTGGCTGGGACTGCAAAAGCCAGGCTTCCAGGGTTTGGATTCAGTGCCGGCGACCTTTCGTTTCCATGAGAACACAGAATGTGGCATCCAGCAATCTGACCTGAGCCTGACGTGTAAATTCTAATAAAAGAGCAAGCTGAGCTACAATGGTGAGAATAGGAACTAAGAAAATAATATCCACAATATAAGAAAAAGCCTTGCGCCCAAAGGCAAATGATTTACCTGATGTCTGACTTTGAGAACGGGATAAGTTACACCACAGCTACTCTGTGGAATATTTTGCAAACATTGCAAAGTGGTAGTTAGAAAGATATGAGCAAGTTGGAGAAATTATTTATAACTACCTAGAAAAAAAAAAGTCACAACCCAACATTGTACATGTGCTATTCCTTCATTAAGGAAAGAAAAAGGAAACATACTAGGACTGTGCTTCTCAAATTGTCAGTGGTAAAGCATGAGTTTGTGTTTTTAAAATTTCCAGTCCATTACAAACCAACAGTTTTGTAAAATACCATAAAAATAAATGACAAACATGTATGCGTCAAAGGACGAGCATCTAAAATTGTACTTTTTTTTTTTTTGCGGTACGCGGGCCTCTCACTGTTGTGGTCTCTCCTGTTGTGGAGCACAGGCTCCGGACGCGCAGACTCAGTGGCCATGGCTCACGGGCCTAGCCGCTCCGCGGCATGTGGGATCTTCCCGGATCGGGGCACGAACCTGCGTGCCCTGCATCGGCAGGCAGACTCTCAACCACTGCGCCACCAGGGAAGCCCTAAAATTATACTTTTTTAAAAACTTGCAAAACTAAACAGTAAAAAAACACACAAAACAATCCAATTCGAAATGAACAAAAGACATGAACAGACACGTCACCAAAGAGGATGGCAAATAAGCACGTGATAAGATGTTCACTATCATTATCCACTAGGATATGCAGAGTAAAACCACAATGAGATCTCACTGCACACCGATTAGAATGACCACATCAGTTTCCTAGGGCTGCATAACAAATTACCACAAACTGGGCAGCTTAAAACAACATATAAAACATTAAAAAATAATAATTATTATTATTAGAAAAACAAAATGAAAACTAGATATACAAGATGCAAGCTGGGGACTTCCCTGGTGGCGCAGTGGTTAAGAATCCGCCTGCCAGTGCAGGGGACACGGGTTTGAGCCCTGGTCCGGGAAGATCCCACATGCTGCGGAGCAACTAAGCCCATGCGCCACAACTACTGAGCCCATGCTCTAGGGCCCGCAAGCCACAACTCCTGAGCCTGCGTGCCGCAACTACCGAGGTCTGTGCGCCTAGAGCCCCTGCTCTGCAACAAAAGAAGCCACCGCAATGAGAAGCCCGCGTACCGCAACTAGAGAAAGACCGCGCGCAGCAATGAAGAACCAACACAGCCATAAATTAATTAATTAATTAATTAATTTAAAAAAAAGATGCAAGCCTCAATTGTTGAATAAGATGTTCAACAGACATAAAACAACTATGTCAAATTGCTGTAAGAGTTCCTCAATGCCCACTCTTGTTTTCTGCACCTGTTGTGCTGAGAAGCAGTAGTGAACATCTGGCAGAATGGCACTGGGCCGTTGACCACACTTTGAGTGGCACCTGCTCAAAGACAAGAAGCAAATACTAGAGGAGGAATGTTTTTTCCCCCTCTTTGGCTTAATTTTTTGTTGTGGAATTATATTGCTATTCAAAATGAAACAATTTAAGGAATTCCCTGGCAGTCCAGTGGTTAGGACTCTGCACTTTCGCTGTGGGGGCCCAGGTTCAATCCCTGGTCGCGGAACTAAGATCCTGCAAGCCGCCTGATGCAGCCAAAAAAAAAAGAAACGATTTAAGGCATGTATAGATAGTAACACAGAAAATAAATTTCCCCTGAATTCTGGTTAAAGAGAAAAACACAGTTGATGTAAACCACAGCCAATCCTGCATGTGCTTAAATCTGTCACCGCCCGCCCCTCTCCTCCTCCCCTAACTTCGCCTCCTGTCCTCCATTCCTCTCTCTCCCCAGTGGCAGGTCCCAGGCTCTGGTGCACCCCTCCCCAGCCCCCAACACTGAGGAAATCACTTCACCTCTCTGGGCATCAGTTTCCTCGTGTGTGGTGATTATGAGACCCACCTCAGAGCTGTCATATGAGGAGTAAATGAGGTCACCCACACAGCAAGGACTCTGAGCACTGTGTGGGAATGTGCATGTACAGAGTAGGGCCCTCTGGCTGCGTGCAGCGGTCCGCAAACACTCGGGCCAGCTCTGGCCGGCCTCCCAGTCTCGTTCCATCTCACCCTCCCCTCTCAGGCAAACCAGGCTCCTTCTCCACCTCCTCAGTCTGCATCCTCTGCCCTCCAAGGGTGCATGTCCTCCCCATCCAGCTGTGAGATCCCCCAGGCCAAGGGGGTTCCTCCCCAGAGGAAAAGCCAGGCCAGGCTGCTGCATTTTTTTCTCTACTACAACTTGAGGCCCTGTAATTTCTCCCACCTGTAATAATAATAATAATAATAATAATAATGAATACATTCATACTGGCTAACTCAATGAGCACTTAGTATGTGCCAGGCACTATCCCAAGCCCTATCGGTATACTAACTCATTTAATGCTCAGGACCATCCTATGAGGTAGGTTCTGTTCTAAGCCCAATTTACAGAAACTGAGGCCAGCAAGCAGAGAAATAGCTTGCCCAAGGCCACCCAGATGATAAGCCCCATGCACTTAACCACAATGCTATACATGTTTCCTGGCAGTTTTCCTGCTTCGTGATGGTGGGGACCAGATCTGTCTTATTCACCCAGCTCAGTGCCTGGCACAATGGAGAAGCTCTGTAAATCTTTGTTGAAATGAACAAATGAATGAATGGGTGAATAAATGCTGCTCATTGTGCTATCTTAACCAGTTTTATGTGTATAGTTCACTGAAAGTTCAGGCTTCAAGGATTCCAGCTAAACTCCAGTGTACTGGTTCCCACTTCCTACCTCATGCAAGGGCAGGGACCAAGGCCAAGACCTTGGTCCCTGCCCTTGCATGGTCAATACAATGCAAGTGCTTGGCCACTGGGCCTATTTCCCTTCCAATACACCCACCTCAGAGCTCCTGCTATATCAACTCACTCACCACTCTGCTTTTCTGCTCCCTCTTGATGTCAAAAACAGACACATTCTATTTTCTACATATTCAGAGCAGGAAGGGTCCCAGCATCCCACTTCCAAATGAGCACCTCAAGCACATGCATTCATAGAGGGCACACGGAAGCCACAATTGTATCCATAGTGAAAAGCCTATTCCAAGGCTGGGTGGTTGTTGTCTACTGTTACTGAGAGCCTACTATGTGCCAGTTACTGTACTGGGTGCTTTTTATACATTTGATCTCATTTAATCCTCCTTCCAGTTCCATTAGGTAGGTACTATTACTGTCACTGGTTCAGCTGAGAAAACTTCCAAAGACACAGCTAGAAAAGGAACAGAACCAGGATTCAGACTTAGGCTGGCCCAACCGTTGCCAAATACATCTTGTCTTCCTCCATCCTGCCACACGCCGCCTGTTGCTTCCTCACCTTGCCCAGTCCTCTGGGGGTAGGATCCATGTGACTCCCTTCTTGTTACCTGTCCTCAGCACCCAGTGGGTGTGACGTGGGGTGCAATCAGTCGTTGCAGAGGTTACTGTGATTTTGCCCCTGGAGACCTGTCCACAACTCAGGAGGGACTGCAGAACTCACACAGCTCTTGGCCTGAGCCCCTGTTACCAAGCGAAAGGAGGCTTTAGCCAAGGACTCTGAGGGGAGATAAATGCTGGGAGTGGACTCAACTCTGGTCGGGACCCAAGCACCCAGCCCTCCCCGAGACATTGTTTCAACTGGGCCAGGCCACCAGACACAGCCCCTCCCGCCCGCCCCAGCCAGGGTGGTGCTTGTGTGGGAAGGACTTTAACTCCAGCTGCCAGACCCCTGAACGGGAGAGGCAGAGAGGACTGGCCAACATGCACAACTTCCGCAGCCTCCTGGCCCTTCTGCTGCTGCCGCTGCTACTGCTGGGGGCTGCCACGGGCCCCGCCGGAGCCCTCAGTGATGATGAAAAACACGTGATGGTGGAGCTGCACAATCTCTACCGAGCCCAGGTGTCCCCGCCGGCCGCCAACATGCTGCAAATGGTAAGTGTGGCCAGGGCCCCCACCAACCCCTTTCACGGCATGAGTGGAAGCTATCTCAGGGATTCATCTCTCTGGCAGGAACAGAGTCCCTGACATTGTAGAATTCACAGGCCCCCATAAGCAGCCTCATTATACAGATGAGGAAACTGAGGCTCAGAGGGACTTGCTGGTCCCTCAGGGGCTTGCATGTGCCATAGCTGGTAGAGCCAGGCCTGAAAGCCCTGCTCCCTGATCCAATGACCCCTTCCCAGCACTTCCTAAAATGCATGTGCCCCTGGGAGGGGGAACACAGGAAGTTCCTAACACCTTGTTGAAACGATCTTTCAGATACCGCCCAAGGAGATGAGAAGAAAAAATAGGGCAGCAGGATGAGCCCCAGCACCCAGGGTAGGAGGGATGTACTAAGGAGGTGGGGTGAGAACAGGAACCAGAAGTAGACAGGGCTCTGAATCACACAGATCAAAATCTGTCTCGACCACTCACAAGGCCTGTGATTTGGGGCGAGTCCCTTAACCTAGTAAGGACCCTCAGTTTCCCATCTGTAAAATGATGTCATAATTAGAGCTACATAAATATCAACATGGACAGAATCTCACAGATATAATATTAAATGGGGGAAAATGAAATCTAAGAAAATATACATGCATATATTTTTAGTATAGTAGGGTATATTTACATGAAAGAGATAAAGTGAGAAATTCACCCCCTTCCTGCCCTCCCTGAGGGCTACACTGGCCCTTCTTCTCCAGTCACCCTTAGGTGAGGGCAGTGTCCAGGGACCCCCTAGCTGGTGCCTGAGAGCAAGGTTGCACCAGGCATCCAAGACCAGAGTTCTAACAGCTCTGTGCAATCGGCTGAAGTGACTCTGGGTGGACTCTTTACCTTGAAAGGCGTCTGTTTCCTGATCACATGGTGCGGGCAGTCCCTGCCCTGAGGGTCAGACAGGATGACCTATGAAAAAGATCTAGGAAGGGCTCCACAGATGCACACAGCACCGCCCTTCACAGCCCTGTCGGCCTTGGCAACCAGGAATTGCAGACAACAAACTAGGAGCTCCCAATTCTGTTACCAGCTCTGCCAACAGTTCCCCAGTTGAGGCCTGGAACACATTGTTGGGCCTCAGTTTCCCCATCTGTAGGTCCCTGATGCCCTAGAGTCTTGCTGGCCGAGGCTGGGGGCTACACAGGCTGCAAGCTGCTTTGTAGACAGAGATGGAGCTCAGGAGTGGGGCAACATTCTAGGAAGCAGTTCAGATATTGATGGGATATGCTGCTGCCTGGTGGGAAGTGATCTGAGGAGGGGGAGATAAGGCTGGACTGGGACACCAGGATAAATTTGGGACAAGGCTTAGGCTCGGCTTCAGCAGTGGTAAATACAGAGACTCTGGAGTCAGATGGCCTGGGTTCAAATCTTGACTTTGCCATTTATTAGCTATGTGACCTCAGCCAAGTTACTTAACCTCTCTGTGCCCCAACTGTAAATCGGGGATGATAACACTATAATAACTCTCTTGTAGAGTGGTTGAAAGGATGAAATGAGTGACTATGTGTAAAGCATTTAGAACAGGGCCTGGCACACAGTAAGTGCACAATAAGTATTTGATAACAAAAGAGGGAATGGATCCAGGGTGAGGCAGGTGGGGGTTATCACAGATTCTTCTCTCTCCCTCAGCCTCCAAGTCTAATCATCACCACTTTTACCTCCCAGAAGGTTCAACTTTTCTTGAATCCTATCTCCGCCCCACCCCTCCACCATCTCTTTGACACAACCCTGGTTCAGTCTTTCTTTTCCCACGGAATTCTAGAACAGCCTCTACCTGCTTCCTCAGCCTCTGGCTTCTACTACCAGAATGAATGATCCAACACACTGGCCTGACCCTTTTCAAAACCCTTCCATGGCTCCCATTGGCTCCCTGCTGCCTCCAGATAAACCTCCAGCTCCTGAGAAGCCCAACTCTATGTGTCTGGCCTTGTCTACCTCTCCAGCCTCCTCTCCTTCACACTTTCTCCTTGAGTAACCCGAGCAGCTTATCTTTCCCCCACCAAAACGTTTCCCATCTCCATGCCTTTATTCATGTTTGCCCTCTGTTCAGGATGCCTTTCCCCTCTCCATCTGGCCAATGCCTCATCTTTTAACACTTAGCTTAATGTCTCCTTCTCCATCCGCAGGTTGCACTAAATGGCCCTCTTTTGGTGCCCCTATACTACCCATCGCATATCTGTCAGTTACCACATGGTGGCCCAATTAACAGTTTATGACACTGGGAACTTGGGCTTCTTAGTCCTTGCTGTCACCCCAGGGCTGGCATAGTGCTCAGGACTGTTGAATGAATGAGTGAGTGGATGAATGAATGGACTTGCTTTCAGATGGTGACCAAGTGGCCAGTGAGGGTGGGTACCTTGACTCTTGAACCTCCACAGGGGTCTCTGGACAACTGAGAAGCCTTAAGACTCACAGGAATGACTCTCTAATGGTGGGATTCCAGGCATCCAGTCAGGATGGAAATTACAGCCAAGCTCTGTAGGAGAGACTGCTTTAAGCTGGGCTGTGTCTCAGTCATCAACAGTTGAGAAATGTCTGTTGAGCACCTGCTCTGGGCCAGCACTGCGCCAGACATGCTGAAGGAGCTTACAGTCTAGTCTGGAGCCCCGAAGGTCATCCCAGACACCCTGAGCCTGGTCCCCAGCACCCTGCCCCTTTCCCGCTCCCTATCCTCCACTACTACCAGTTTGAGAGAGCCTCAGGGACCAGTGACTTGGGACAAAAATGCCCACAGAGGGGGGCTTCCCTGGTGGCGCGGTGGTTGAGAGTCCGCCTGCCGATGCAGGGGACACGGGTTCGTGCCCTGGTCCGTTGAAACAAAAACTACAACACCATTGGACTTGGTGTTCAGTATATCTAGAGGAAATACTTAACATGGTTATAGTTTAAGGTTTGGAGAACAGAAGATCCTAAAGTGGAAGAACATTAATGCATCAGCAGACCTGGGTATGTGCAGTACCATAACCAGAACACACACTAAGAAAAATATACCAATTAATACGTTAAAAATGCTACAACGAAGTCAAGATGTAATTCTAAAAAAAAAAAAAAAAAAAAAAAAAAAAAAAAATGCCCACAGAGGGAAAGGGATTCACCTGAGTTTACAGCATTTTACTATCCCAGCCCAATGCTCCCATCTGCACCCCAGGCAGCTGCTCCTGAGAACCCTGGGAGGGGGGTGGGTGTGGCCACACAGCCCCCTCCCCTCAGGGTCACCCAAGCTCTTGGTACTTTATGGGCTGTCTGGCTCCCACAGCTGGCAGGCCCCCAGAGGGTGGAGCAAGAGTTGCTGCCAGGCCATCCATTTCTAGGAGAGGCCAAGGACAGTTTAATGGGATCCAGGCCTCCTTCCTCAATCCCTTGGTCAGATGCCTTGTTAATCTGTCTTCCCACCCACACTGGGCCCATCCTTCCAGCCTGGGACACAGAACCTCAGAGGCCCTCTAACCTGAAATGCCCCCTCCCACACTCTCACCTGAGGTCCTCGCTGGAGAACACTGCCTTTGGGACCTGACAGCTCTTTGGGCCACCAAAGGCTCTGAAAATAGGCCTCTCAGCGAGGGTCACACACACACACTTAACTTTCTTGGGGAAAGGGGTTGTCCGGTTGACAAGAGAGCAACTGGGAGGGAAGCCCAGAGCTGGTAAAGCCGTAGAGGCTGGGCTATCCCAAGGGGAGAGTGGGAGGTTAAAGGGGGTGCTGGCCCCTCAAGTAAGATTTCTGGTGGGTGGGTAGAGGGAGTGGAATGGCTGAATAAACAACCCAGCCCCGGAACATCTCACTGGACATCGTCTGTGCTTCACAACAGTTCAGGCAGCCCTGGCAGGGGCATCACCACCCACCTTGCAAATAGAATGATATTAGTATTAATCAATAATCCCATTATCAAAAACATCATCTCATTTTTTCTTCCCAAAGTCCTATGAGAGCTCAGAAAGTTAGGCAATCTGTCTAAAACCACACAGCTGGTGAATGGCCCCAAGTTTGCCTAACTCCATGGCCTGGGATGGCACCCTCCCACCTCCCCACAGAAGCTCCCCACCAGCACAGCTGTGTTCCAGATCATGTCCACGAGTCACCCTGCAAGGAGGGGCGGGTCTTCGGCCTCCAGAGGCCCCCCAGAACACCCTCCACCTTCTTTTCTGTTCCTCACCCAATTTGGACATCCTTACCTCCCTCTCCCACCCTCCTTTCCCGCCTCCACTGAGCCCGAGTCGTCCTCACCTCCCCCTTGCAACCTGACCCGCAGAGGTGGGACGAGGAGCTGGCCGCCTTCGCCAAGGCCTATGCGCAGCAGTGCGTGTGGGGCCACAACAAGGAGCGCGGGCGTCGCGGCGAGAACCTGTTCGCCATCACGGACGAGGGCCTGGACGTGCCGCTGGCCATGGAGGAGTGGCACCACGAGCGCGAGCACTACAACCTCAGCGCCGCCACCTGCGCCACAGGCCAGATGTGCGGCCACTACACGCAGGTGCGAAGCTGGACGGGCGGGCGGGGCCACAGGGCAATGGGCGGGGCCGGGAAGGGCCGGGCGGGGCCACCTCTCCCTTCAGAGCCCGGGAGTCCGTAAGCCCCGCTTGCATCCTTCATAAAAGTCATCTCTCCACAGCAATTCATGTGTTGTCCAGGCCCCCAACGAAGTCTGCTTCTCAGACTGTCGAAACTATTTTCAGTTGTCTCTTTAAAGACCACAATCTTCTGAAAACCTAGGCGGCCCCTCTCGGCCTCCTGGGTCCTGAAGAGACCTGAATTAGGTGTCGCAGAGCCTTTTTCCTGGAGGGTAGCTACTGTGCTAGGCGATCCTGATCGAGCTCTAAGCAGTCTTGTCCTCTGGCCGAGGTTACACACGGCTGTTTGCCCCAGCAGTGAAGGGCTTCCCCCCCACTCCCCCGCCTTCGGTCTTCTCTCTCTCACTGTCCCTCTTATTTCTCAGCGTGTCTAAGTTGCTGCTTCTAATCTGCCAGGGACTGATAAAGCAAATACACAATTTTTCTTCTGCCTTGAAAAACTACACGCAAAATAAGAGAGCAAGCTGTCACCAAGTGAACGTTTCAGAGAGCCTTCTGAGAGCATTTCCTGCCTCTTGCAGTCACTCTTTGCTACATCAGGGTTTTACTGCATTTTGAAAGTTTGAGTTTGCAGACAAGGGGCATAGGGGTGTGTGTAGGGGAATTAACATTAGTGTTATTGAATTCTTTTTTTGTGTGTCCTCCCAATGCTTATTTGTTGTTCAAACAATAACATGACAAATTAAAAAAAAAAAAAAAGGAAATGAACCAACCATCTTCCCACCCATATCCACCAATTCCATTTTCCAGTGTTTCTTTGGGTGGTATTTTTAGTGCTGATCTTTAGAGAAGGAAATCCTAACATCACCCACCCAGATCAGGAAGTTGTGAGGCCCCAGCCCTCCCTGCCCCCTTCTCTCTGTTCCCTGCCACCTCTCACACTCCCCGTACATATATCCTCCTGTAGGAATTGCTGTCAGTGCCCAGCAGGAGTCGGGCTGCCCCATCTCCACCCCTGTGTTCTCTAAGGCTGAGTGCATGTGCATTCTGGGGTCATTTCTGCCTGGGAGATGCTCGACAGTGGTCCCTCGGGAACTCTCAGCTGATTCAAGCACCAAGACCCCAATCCTGGGGAGTTGTGCAGAATTAACAGCAAGAGCCAGATCTCACAACAAAAAACGGGCCTCAGTTTGAGTGACTCCTGGGCAGACTGGGCCTAGAAATAGCAAAGGGAGGCTATATTGGCTTGTCTTAGCCAATGGCAGGGCACAAAGGTTGTTCTGACTTTTTAAAGTTTATACTTAAGACAGAACGCCTTCTACCAGTTAGGAGACCCACACTTAGAAATGGCAGGGCAGGTCCCTGCTTACTTGTGACTTGGGGGGAAGTTTTACTTCCAAAATGGCTCCTCCTGTTCCCTTCCTTGGCCTTTGCTTGTTGCTGATGTTTAAGATTCTCCCATTTGAGATTCATTCCTTTGTTATATCCCTTGTTTAAAATGCAAGGGCCTCTAGAAGGAGCCCACAGGAAGAATTCATGAGGGTCTATCAAAGGGGAAGGTTTTCAGAGGGAGAGAGTCCTAGTGAAATAGTGTGTGTGGTTGGTAGAGGAGAGTAGGCTGCTTGGGACAAATTTCCCCCCAAATTTCAGAGTTTTGTCCTGAAGCTGTGTGTCCTCAGGGACTTGGATCTTACATATAGGTTTCCTCCTCTCCTCACTTATAGAAGGCTGATGTAGAGAGACACTAGCTAGGAGCCATCTTGCGCAGGCTAAACTGTTGGGTTTTTCCCTCCTTCAGGTGGTCTGGGCCAAGACAGAGAGGATTGGCTGTGGTGCCCACTTCTGTGAGAAGCTTCAGGGTGTTGAGGAGACCGATATCCACTTGCTGGTTTGCAACTATGAGCCCCCGTAAGTGGGGGGGGAGCCCTGGGGGAAGGGGGTGGGCAGAGCCAAGGGGAGGGCTGAGCTGGACACAGTCTAAGAAGGAGGAAGGGGGCCAATCTGGGGTCCATACCCTATACCCTTGGAGGAGCTGCGAGGGCACCCATGGGAGTCTGCTCTTACTGGCCCAGCAAGTTAGTGTATGGCAAGTAAGACCCAGGGAGCGCTTCCAGACTAGGTGTGTGTATGAGGGATAGGGACAGGGGTTGGCAGGGACCCCCCTCCCCCCAGCATCCTCCTCGCCTCCTGCAGGGGGAACGTGAAGGGGCAGAGGCCCTACCAGGAGGGAACTCCATGCTCCCAATGTCCCTTGGGCTACCACTGCGAAAACTCCCTGTGTGGTGAGTCCGGGGTGGGGTGGGGTGGGGGGAGGCAGGTGAGGCAGGGGACGCCTACTGGATGGTCTGGTGTCTTCCAAGGCTCCAGAGTGGTGCGTGGGCCAGGGGAGGAACCCTCAGCGGCCCCACCCCATCCGGATTCCCAAGCCCGCTTTACCTGCTTTGCCCTCCTTGCGCACCACTTTGGCACCCTGGCATTCCGAGTGAACAGCTTTCTGCCCTCCAAGCAGAGGGTAGAGGAGAGTTGGGGGCTCCTGAGCACAGGGGGGGCGGGGGTGGAGGTCAAAGGTTGTTCTGACTTTTTAAAGTTTATACTTAAGACAGAACGCCTTCTACCAGTTAGGAGACCCACACTTAGAAATGGCAGGGCAGGTCCCTGCTTACTTGTGACTTGGGGGGAAGTTTTACTTCCAAAATGGCTCCTCCTGTTCCCTTCCTTGGCCTTTGCTTGTTGCTGATGTTTAAGATTCTCCCATTTGAGATTCATTCCTTTGTTATATCCCTTGTTTAAAATGCAAGGGCCTCTAGAAGGAGCCCACAGGAAGAATTCATGAGGGTCTATCAAAGGGGAAGGTTTTCAGAGGGAGAGAGTCCTAGTGAAATAGTGTGTGTGGTTGGTAGAGGAGAGTAGGCTGCTTGGGACAAATTTCCCCCCAAATTTCAGAGTTTTGTCCTGAAGCTGTGTGTCCTCAGGGACTTGGATCTTACATATAGGTTTCCTCCTCTCCTCACTTATAGAAGGCTGATGTAGAGAGACACTAGCTAGGAGCCATCTTGCGCAGGCTAAACTGTTGGGTTTTTCCCTCCTTCAGGTGGTCTGGGCCAAGACAGAGAGGATTGGCTGTGGTGCCCACTTCTGTGAGAAGCTTCAGGGTGTTGAGGAGACCGATATCCACTTGCTGGTTTGCAACTATGAGCCCCCGTAAGTGGGGGGGGAGCCCTGGGGGAAGGGGGTGGGCAGAGCCAAGGGGAGGGCTGAGCTGGACACAGTCTAAGAAGGAGGAAGGGGGCCAATCTGGGGTCCATACCCTATACCCTTGGAGGAGCTGCGAGGGCACCCATGGGAGTCTGCTCTTACTGGCCCAGCAAGTTAGTGTATGGCAAGTAAGACCCAGGGAGCGCTTCCAGACTAGGTGTGTGTATGAGGGATAGGGACAGGGGTTGGCAGGGACCCCCCTCCCCCCAGCATCCTCCTCGCCTCCTGCAGGGGGAACGTGAAGGGGCAGAGGCCCTACCAGGAGGGAACTCCATGCTCCCAATGTCCCTTGGGCTACCACTGCGAAAACTCCCTGTGTGGTGAGTCCGGGGTGGGGTGGGGTGGGGGGAGGCAGGTGAGGCAGGGGACGCCTACTGGATGGTCTGGTGTCTTCCAAGGCTCCAGAGTGGTGCGTGGGCCAGGGGAGGAACCCTCAGCGGCCCCACCCCATCCGGATTCCCAAGCCCGCTTTACCTGCTTTGCCCTCCTTGCGCACCACTTTGGCACCCTGGCATTCCGAGTGAACAGCTTTCTGCCCTCCAAGCAGAGGGTAGAGGAGAGTTGGGGGCTCCTGAGCACAGGGGGGGCGGGGGTGGAGGTGGGGGGCGTGGCCAGATGGGTGGTCAGAGGGACTCCAAAGGCCAGGCCTGCAATGCGATGGGTGTTTTAGGAACAGGAATCCAGCGGGAGAAATCCCCTGAAAAAGTGGAAGTGCGTGTGTAGAGAGGGGAAGACTTGGACAAGGAGGTGGATGGAGAGGCAACTGTCAGTCACAAGAAATAACATGTATTATCAATGAGGGACATATTCGCTGGACAGGGTGTGTGCATGTGTGTTTGTGTGTCTTCGTAGGACTTTTGATCACCTCACCTTGATTGCGGTGGGGTGAGGGATGCGGGGTCCTGCTTGCAGCACTAATGCCAGGCCTTGTCTCTCTTATCAGAACCCAACAGAGGCCCGGAAGAGGCTCAGGATTTGCCTTACCTAGTAACTGAGGCCCCATCTTCCCTGGCAACAGAAGCCTCAGGCTCTAGGAAAGAGGGTATCACTTCTTCCTTAGCAACGGAAACTCCATCCTTCTTGGTAACAGAGGTCTCAGGCTCCCTGGCAACAAACGCTCTACCTGCTGTAGAAACCAAGGCCCCATCTTCCTTAGTAACGGAAGACTCCCCTTCCATGGCAACAGAGGCTCCACCTTCCTTAGCAACTGAGGTCCCTTCCTTTTTGGCAACTCACAGCCTACTCTACTTGGATGAGAGACCGGCTACCCTCCCCAAATCAACCCATGATCCTACCCCCAAATCAGCAGATAAAGAGGCCAGCAGTACAAGAATGCCCTCCAGGAGCCCAGAGAGTTCTCTGCAGCCCAAGATGTCCTTGACGGGGACATGGGAGCCGCTACCCTACACCCAGGAGGAGGGCGAGGCTGAGGCCGAGTCACCTCATTCCAGTGAGATCTTGGCCTCAGTTTTTCCAGCGCAGGACAAGCCAGGTGAGCCGCAGGCCACACTGGAGCACAAGGGACACAAGTCCCTGTCCAACTCCCCCAGTGCCTCTGCCACCGCTAATGCCATGGGTGGGCGTACCCTGGCCCTGCAGTCCTCCTTGCCAGGTAAGTCCTGTGGCGCCCATCCTATCTTCCCTCCTGGCTCCAGAATGTCAGCACCCTGCCTCTAGTATAGATGATATAGGCACGGCGGGGCATGCACCCTCCGAGTAGGAGCTTCCTCCCTGGCTGCTGGACCCCACGTGCATGCCTTGGTAGGGGGGGTGGGAGGTCAGGCAGAGCTGTCTCCAGGCTGAAGCCTCTCCCTTCCTGCAGGTGCAGAGGGCCCTGAAAAGCATGGCATCAAGTCAGGGTTGAACTCGAGCCCTGGGCACGGCTGGGGCCTCCTCCTGGTACTGCTGCTACTGCCTCCCCTGGTGCTGGCTGGAATCTTCTGAAGGGGTCACCACTCAAAGGCAAGGCCTCACGGGGGGGACCCTAGCCTCATGCCCACTCTGGATTGTCTTTCTCCAATAAGAGACCACAGCTTCCTGGAAGGTCCTCTCTGTGGCCCAGCAGCCCCCCTTCACCCCAGCCAGACTCCAGGCCAGAGGCCTTGTGCCCTCAGGAGGCCTCGACAGGGACAATCCTTGGCACTGCCCCAGGATGCCTCTGTCTTTGGGGAGGTCCACCCCTCAGCCAGATGCAGATTGTTCTGAGCAGTGTTCCTGTGGCCTGTGCCCACTCTCCAGCTGTCCTGTGGCCACAGTCCTGCTCTACCAGGGACAGATCATCTCAGGGCTTCCCAGGAACCCCTCAGCCCCTTCCAGTCCCCTGGCCTCTTCCTTGAGCCATTGGAGTCTAGGGCTGTTCCCAAGAGTGCTTCCTGCCTTCCCAGGGTGAAGAGGTCAGCTGTCCTCCTGCCACCTCCCCAACCCTGTCCCCAGCCCGCCAAACAAGACGTTTCTTGGCTGAAGTCCCTCTGGAAGGGAAAGGCTGCAGGGCATGTGCCTCATCCACAGACATCTTTGGGGGCATGGGGCCTGGCCACTGCGAGCTCAGGTTGCTGCCCACTGACTGCATGTGTCTGGACCCCTCCTGTTCCTCCCATGTCAGTCTGGCGGGGGGCGGTGAGTGAGGACTCTGGGGAGGTCCCTGGCTGCCTGGCCTTGGGTTGTCTGCCTAGGCAAGGTAAGGGTTCTCCCTGTGTATCCAGTCCCCTAACTTTCCTGTTTAGCAGGCAGCGGGTGTCGTGAGGGGCAGATGAAGGACAAGCCCCATCTGAGAGGGGATCTATGGGTGGGGCAGGCACGGACCAGTTAAGGGAGGCAGCCCCTGACTCCTGAATAAAAGCCTGTGTAAGAGGACCAGTCGCCGTGCTTGCGAGCAGCAGAGGGGGGCAAGGGAGGGCTCTTGCACGGGGGGCCCTGAGAGGCTCACCTCTTCCCCTACTGACTCGTGGCAACTGTTCCTTCTCCTTCACACGCCCTCTCCCCCAAACACTCCACTTAGTTCCTTGAGGCACTTTTCCTTTCCTTCCTAACCCCCGCCCCCAAATCTTCAGGTAGCCGGCGGAAAGGGGCTAGGGCCAAGGGTTGGCGAAGGGTGCTGGGCTGACTCTCCCAGCTCTGGGAGTCACTAGTGGAGCCTAGCTGGGTTCGTGACCCAGGATCAAGGAGTGGCATACGACCTCTTCACAGGGGTCCTGCTGCCCACGCCCACCCAGGACACAAGGTCTGAAACGTACCTCAGCATGGTTTTGCCAACCCTTGGTGCTTAGAGGAGTCCTGAGAAAGGGCTCTGGAGTCCCAGACACCCTCCAGGGAAGCACAGGATTGTCCCAAAGTGCTGTGGGGCAGGAAAGCACAAGTGTGTGAGTAGGGCTAGCAATGGTAGGTGATGAGGGCAGCCTGGGACCCAGCTGGGGCTGGTGGGGAGGGGCAGCTAAACAGGAGGCATCCAAATCAGTCCAGGGCTGAATGCTGTGTGTGTGTGTGTGTATGAGATGATAGAATGTATCTCCATTAAGGTATAACTCATATAACATAAAATTCACTCATTTAAAGTGTACCACTCAGTGGTTTTTAGTATATTCACAGGGTTGTGCAACCATCACAATTTGGGAACATTTTTATCACCCCAAACAGAAACCCCACACCCCTCAGCAGTCACTTCCCATTTTCCCTCCACACCCCCCAGCCCCTGCCCTAAGCAATCACTAATCTACTGTCTCTATGGGTTTGTCTATTCTGACTTTTTTTTTTTTTTTTTTTTTTTTTGTGGTACGCGGGCCTCACTGTCGTGGCCTCTCCCGTTGCAGAGCACAGGCTCTGGACGCGCAGGCTCAGCGGCCATGGCTCACGGGCCCAGCCACTCCGTGGCATGTGGGATCTCCCCGCAACGGGGCATGAACCCACGTCCCCTGCAACGGCAGGCTGACTCTCAACCACTGAGCCACCAGGGAAGCCCTATTCTGACATTTTATATAAATAGAATCATACAATATGTGGCCTTTTGTGTCTGGCTTCTTTCACTTAGCATATTTTCAGGTTCATCCATGTTGTAACATGAGATAGTACTTTATTCCTTTTTACTACCAAGTAATATTCCTTTGTATGGAATATATTTTATTTATCCATTCATCAATTGTTGGGCGCTTGGCTTGTTTCCACATTTTGGCTATTAAAAACAATGCTGCTGGGGCTTCCCTGGTGGCGCGGTGGTTGAGAATCTGCCTGCCAATGCAGGGGACACAGGTTCGAGCCCTGGTCTGGGAGGATCCCACATGCCGCAGAGCAACTAGCCCCGTGAGCCACAATTACTGAGCCTGCGCGTCTGGAGCCTGTGCTCTGCAACGAGAGGCCGCGATAGTGAGAGGTCGGCGCACCGCGATGAAGAATGGCCCCCCGCTTGCCGCAACTAGAGAAAGCCCTCACACAGAAATGAAGAGCCAACACAGCCATAAATAAATAAATAAAATTAAAAAAAAAAAAAGGCAAAATTCCTTTAAAAAAAAAAACAATGCTGCTACAAACATTCATGTAAAAGTTTTTGTGTGGCAATATGTCTTCATTTCTCTTGGGTACATACTAGGAGTGGTATCATATGGCTACTCTGATCATATAGTAACTCTATGTTTAACTTTTTCAGGAACTGCCAGACTACTTTCCAAAGTGGCTGCACTATTTTACATTCCCACCAGCAATGTACAAGGGTTTCAATTTCTCCACTCTACCAACACTTGTTACTGTCTTTTTCGATTATAGTCATTCTAGTGACTGTGAAGTAGTATCTTGCTGTGGTTTTGACTTTCGTTTCCCTGATGGCTAATGATGTTGAGCATCTATCCATGTGCTTAGTGGCCATCCGTATATCTTCTTTGGAGAAATATCTACTCAAGTCTTTTGCCCATTTTTTAATTGGGGTATTTGTCTTTTTATTATTGAGTTGTAGGAATTCTTCACATATTCTAGATACAAGTCCCTTATCAGATACATGATTTGCAAACATTTTCTCTCATTCTGTGGGTTGTCTTTTCAATTTTTCTTGATATCCTTCAAACACAAAAGCTGTTAATTTTGAGGACTTCCGACTTATTTTTTTCTTTTGTTGCTTGTGCTTTTGGTGTTACATCTAAGAAACCATTGCCTAATCCAAGGTCATGAAGATTTATACCTGTGTTTTAAAATTTTTACATTAATTGTGTGAATTAAAATGTGAATGTTTCTTTCTGGACTTCCAATCATATTCCATTGATTTAGGTATCTATCTTTATGCTAATGTCACACCATCTTGATTACTGTAGCATTGTAGTTAAGTTTTGAAATTGGGAAGTGCCAAATCCTCCAACTTTGTTTTTTTTCAAGACTGTGAATTTCCAGTCTTTTTTCAAGACCCTTGAATTTCCATATAAATTTTAGGATCAGCTTGTCAAATTTCTGCAAAGAAGTCAGCTGAGATTTTGATAGGGATTATGTAATCCACCATTTTAGCAATGTTAAGGCTTCTGATCCATGAACATGGTATGTCTTTCCACTTATTCAGGTCTTCTTTACTTTCTTTCAACAATGTGTTATAATTTTCAAAATATAAGTTTTGTAATTCTTTTATTAAATTTCTATTTTATTAATTTTTATGCTATTATAAATGAAATTGTTTCACTAATTTCATTTTCACTTTGCAAGTGTATAGAAATACAACTGATTTTTGTACATCAATTTTATATCCTGCAACCTTGTTGAATTCATTTATTAGTTATAACAGTATTTTTAGTGGATTCTTCAGGATTTTCACTACAAGATCATGTCATCTGCAGAGACAGTTTTGCTTCTGCCTTTCTAACACAGATAATATTTCATTTTCTTTCCCAGTTGCCTGGGCTAGACCCTCCAGTACAATGTTGACTAATGGCAAGAGCAGAGCCTTGTCTTGTTCCTGATCTCAGGGGGAAAACATTAGGTGTTTCACCAATTGGTATAATATTAATTACGAGTTTTTCATAGATGCCATTTACTAGGTTGAGGAAGCTCCCTTCTCTTTTTAGGTTTTTGAATGTTTTCATCAAGAAGGGATGTTGAATTTTGTTAAACACTTCTCCTATGTCTATTGAGATGATTGTGTGGTTTTTTTCCTTCTATGGACAGAATGTATTACATTAATTGATTTTCAGATGCTGACCGTGCTTGCCTTCCTGAGGGGGGAAGGGCATCCCTCCCTTTGTGGGCCTGTCTTTGCAAGCTAGTCCGAAGTTCTATGAGGTGGTCAAGTGAGGTAGCCTCTGGGCAGAGCCAGACTGTGGAGGCCCAAACCCATCTTTCTCCGTTTTGGGGTGGGATGTACCAGCCTCCTGCAGAGCAAGAACACCTGTTTCTAGCACTGAGGTTCCAGCCCAACCTGTCATATGAGAAAACCTACTAAGACCAGCAGCAGGAGTCTCTTTGGAAATTTTTTGGGGTAAATAACAGGAGCCAAGACATGGTATCCCATAGTAGTCAGGGAGGGGAGGAGAATGGGAGGGCATGTTCAAAAGGAGGGCAGGGGGCTGGCACTCTGAGGCCTCGAGGACCAGAGTAGGGCAGGTCTGCTCCCACACTCTGCTGCGTGACTCCCAGGCATCTGGGCACTGGCGCAGCAACAAGGGCTACAGTAGGGCCCTGCAAAGACCACCACTGCCACCTCGGACTTCATCACAGGGGGTCCCAAAAGGCCTGTCAGAGGACATTCCAGCTTTGTCCATTGGAATTAGGTTTTCCAGGAGGGGAGGGAGGTAACTGGGTCCCCACAGGGACATTCCCACTCCTGTCACCCCTCCTTTTGCTGACAGCTCATCTCCCCCCACCTACCCCCCAAACCCTCCACCCCCCTGCACCACCAGGGAGGCCCACAGCATGCATTTTTTTAACTAAAAAGGGAGGAGGAGGAGAGGAAGAATAAAAGGAGTGGAAGGATGGCCAGAGGCAGAGGGGAAGGAGAGAGAACAAGGGGAAAGGAAGAGAACGGAGGGGGGGGGGGGGGAGGGGAGCAGGTGAGGCTTCAGCCCTCAAAGAATGAAAGGTTCAGGAGACAAAGGGAGCACTTACCATACACAACACACACACCTTAATACTGAAGTGAAAATGGTTAGAAATAAAAACCTGTACTTAGCTCAACTAAAATCCGAGACAGAGCATCAAAGGTGATTTTCTTGCTGTTTCTGGGTGGAAGATAACCTGGGAAATGTAGTCAAGACCCTGAAATTCAGAAATCCCAGGGTATTACCTGGGAATGGCACTGCCTCCCCTCAAAGTGACTCGAAAGGCCCACCCAGGCTGGCTCTTTACCTTGGTGGCTTCTCCAGACACCTAGGAGGAGGTGGCTGTCAGAGGGAGGGGCTCTTCAGGACCAGCTCAGCTCAGACTCCTGAATCTGGGGGACCACAAGAAGGAATTGCTGCAAAAACAGGACTTGAGGGTGGAGCAATGGGAAGAAAAGTTACCCCAGGGCAGTGGTCAGTGCCATGGGAAACCACACTGGGCTAGAGAAAGGTCATGTGCCGTGCGGCAGACACACCTCTAAAGGGCCTTTCTCCTCTACAGAATTGGTGCCAGTAAGGCCTGGCCTGCTCACCTTGCCATGTTCTTTCCCTCCCTGCCACTTCAGCTGTCTGAAGTGAGTGTGAGATCTTAGTAACCTCCACCAATGTACATTTACAGAATACCTGCACAGGCATGCTCCTGTGTTCCCGGGGAACAAGGATACGTAAGGTAAACTGGGGCAACTGTTACTAGGCCAATGGGGAAAACCAGTTCTGCAAAAGCATCCCAGGGCCTTCCCTGGGCATGACCCAGCCCACACCTGTGAAGAAGTATGACCAAAGTCCCAAAGCCCAGCTCTCCGAAGTCATCTCCCCTAGAGCAAGGACAGAGAAACATTTGGGGAACCAAGCTGGCCCTCAACTGGTATTAAAACCCCATCAGCTGGAAGCCCACAGTCTCTAGGGGCCAGCAGGTTCCATTTGTAAGTTCTGCCTGTTTATAGGCAAAAGCAAATGTTGGGCAGAAGCAAATGAAGGGAGCTTTGCCTTTTCCAGAGAAGGCCAAGCTCAGAGCTTCAGCTGGGCCTGTGTCCACTCCTTCTGCTGTAACCACGGGACTGCTACACCAACCGACTTGGTAAAACCCCACAATGTCATCTGCAAACAGTCTGAGAGGACAGCTGGGGGTTTGGGTGGAACATTTTCTGAAGCTGGGAGGACATTTAGAGCTCCTGTCTCCCTGGGAAGAGGTCTAGGCACTAGCTGTTGCTCTGTGAACTGGAGTCTTGGCTTGTCTAATTCAGAAAACCACCCAATGACCTGAGCCTTCGCCCTGCCCCCCCCCAACACACCCCCGGCCTGCCGCCCGGCTGATCTACACCAAGCCCGGGCACTTCTCATGCCCAGGCCAGGTTGCCCCCAGTCCTGTCACTTTACACACAACCCTTCTCACACAACCACAAAGGACTGAGAAAGACCCTGCAGACAGTTAAGCTCATAAAAATAAGAGACTCCCCACAAAGCTCCAAATGACCACCAATGAATTTATTTGAGGGAGAAAGGGTCAAATCTTATTAGGAACTTTAAACTGGATAGGAAAAGACACTGATCTGCCTAACATCTGGGTGTTCACAAGTGCACAGGTAACCATATCCTGCACGTAAGGCATCACCATTAAACCAATGAACATTTGACGAGAAGGACACGTTCTGAGCAGTCACATGATTTCCCTTTCAGAAGGTGCTGCCTCATCAGAAAAGTAGTGTTGAGAGAAACGAAGACAGTCTCCTCGCAAAGGCCTGGACATGACAGCAGCCTCGTGAAAGGGGATCACACCTTATTTACAAAGCAAGAGAGTGAAACTCCCAGCTGAGCTGCAGGATGAGAGCTGGGGCTGACTCAAGGGGTGTGAATGGGGGTTGGGACCTGACTTCATGAGCCTTTGCCCATCCAACGTGGGCCTCCACAAGCCATTCTTTGGCCCCTTGCACAAGACAGACTCAGGAAATCTGCAAAGTAAGGGGATTCTGCCCCAATTCCCCAGCCCCACCCCACCTTCCCCAGGTCTAACAGTGACCAATCCACTGGACGCAGCCTTACCCCCACCCAACCCCTACTTCTGGACAAACATGGCATATATGGAAACCGAAGCCCAGCTGTGCTGGAGCACATCTAGGTGCTGCTGGGTTGGTTGTCTTACAGGTGCCCCGAGATGATCAGGCCTCACCCACGGTGGCCAGGCTGAGAGAGCGTGTATTTTTTTAGGTGATTCAGGTTACTCCAGGGCAAAGCACGATCCTGATGACACCCGGCGGAAAAGCAGGCTGGAGCCTCGAAAGAGCTGGCCCTGGATTGGAAGGAGCAGTAGGGTCAGTGAAAGGGAGGCCATGCTTCTCATCCCACCCCAGAGCCAGGCCAGCGAAAGACAAATAAGGGCCCAGTAGCTCAGAGACCCTAGAGTCGGAGATAGAGGGCCTAGGTTTGCATTCCTGAGGGCAAGGTCAGAATCTGCTCTGTGCTGAAGCACAGAGGAGCAGTTTACTTCATGCCACAGGGTGTCCAGTATTTTTTTTTTTAATTTATTTATTTTTGGCTGTGTCGTGTCTTCGGTGCTGCGCACGGCCTTTTCTCTGGTTGCGGCGAGTGGGGGCTACTCTTCGTTGCGGTGCATGGGCTTGTCACTGAGGTGGCTCCTCTTGTTGTGGAGCACAGGCTCTAGGCGCACAGGCTTCAGTAGTTGTGGCGCACGGGCTCAGTAGTTGTGGCGCATGGGCTCAGTAGTTGTGGTGCACGGGCTCAGTAGTTGTGGCACACGGGCTTAGTTGCTCCGCAGCATGTGGGATCTTCCTGGACCAGGGCTCAAACCCGTGTCCCCTGCATTGGCAGGCGGATTCTCAACCACTGCGCCACCAGGGAAGTCCCGGGTATCCAGTATTCACCGGGATACTGAGTAGGAAACCCCCAGAGGAGACTCACTGCCCTCTGGCTTCAGAGCACAAGTGGACTGGGGCTCCTCCAATATTAGAGGATGTGATGCATGTAGGATCAACTGGATTCGCTGGAAGGCCTGTGTCTGTCTCTGGCCTCCCTGCTTTCCTCCTATCCATCCTTTTCTCAACCTTGAGGCCAGTCAGTGTGCTAGCTCCTCCTGCCCAGGCCACTGCCCCATTTTACTCTGAAGCCAACCAAGGTCAGGAAAAGCCAGGGATCTGTCCTGGGCCAGCCACCTGGATCCCTGACCCAGAGCTCCAGCCAGGAGGGTGCTTGGGCATAGAACACAAAGACTTCAAGACTGGCAGACTCAGGAAATCTGCAAAGTAAGGGGATTCTGCCCCAATTCCCCAGCCCTACCCCACCTTTCCCAGGTCTAACAGTGACCAATCCACTGGACGCAGCCTCACCTCTCAGAAGGTGCTGCCTAGGCACTAGCTGTTGCTCTGTGAACTGGAGTCTCGGCTTGTCTAATTCAGAAAACCACCCAATGACCCGAGCCTTCACCCTGCGCCCCGCCAACACCCCCCCGGCCTGCTGCCCGGCTGATCTACACCAAGCCCAGGCACTTCTCATGCCCAGGCCAGGCTGCCCCCAGTCCTGTCACTTTACATACAACCCTTCTCACACAACCACAAAGGACTGAGAAAGGCCCTGCAGACAGTTAAGCTCATAAAAATAAAAGACTCCCCACAAAGCTCGCCAAGCTCACCACATGGCCCAGCTCCACCCTCAGGCTCTCCCGGGCACCTGGGGCATCCTGCACGGGTGGAGGGAGGGGCCAGCCTCCAACATGCCAGGTGTGTTTTCATCCCAGGTTACTTGAGGTATAAGGAGTTCTTGGGCTTCACCACCTACCCTGTGGGCTCCGTCATACTTGTTCTAAGAATCTTTGAGAGTTGAAGAAAAGAAGACCTTGTCTGATGTGTAATTCTTAAGTAAATTCAGATCTGACCACCTCAAACCCCTTCTACAGGTTACGGAAGAAAACCGAATGAACTTTTTGGCCAATCCAATAAAATAAAGTGAAAATTTAATTTAAATGCCTCAAACCAAAAGTCTACATCCTCTTTATCCTCCTTACAGCATCGGATTCCACGACAACCCCTTAACTTTCCATGCAATGAAGAGTCCACAAAACCTTTCCATCTGACTGATGTGGAAAAGTGAGAAAAACCTCCCTGGAGAGCAGGCTTACCTGAACACTCAGGTACTTCCAGCAGTGGATCCAGGATTTGAACACTGGGGAATAAGGGGGTAGCCCGGCCTGCAGCCTGCGGGGAAGGAGAGCATGTTAGATCCAGAGAACAGTGGGAGACAGATCAGCTAAGGAAAAGGAGCCCTCATGAAGAAATGGCTTGGGGCTGCCACCACCCCCATACCGAACCACAGATTCCTCCCAAAGGGGTGCGATGAATCCCAGAGGAAGCCAGGGGCCTGGTGGGCCAAGCCCACACATAGAGCAGGTGGGAGGGGACAGGGCACTGGACGGGCTCAGCCAGGTCCCCCCAGCAGCCTTGGCAGGGTGCCTGCGGAGGGGCACACACCTACCCGCAGTTATTCACGGCCATGAGATCACCGACCAGCAGGAAGGGGTAGGTCAGCATGCTCACTGCGATCTGCAGGGAGACCCGAGGGTCAGTGAGCCCACCTACCACCAGCCCCCGACCCGGGCTTCGGGAGCAGGCACACCCTAGACGGAGGCCTGCCTCCAGCCATCTCCAGAGCTGGCCTCCGAAGCCCCGCCCAGGCCCCCAGCTCAGTGGGAAGAGCAGCTGGCCAGACTTACCCCCATCACAAATTTAGTGTAGCTCCGGATGGCCAGGGCCTGGCTGAACTGAAAGACAAAAAGGGAGACTGGTTTGCCCCAGGTACCTTGGGATGCAGACTTCAAACATGCAGGCCCCAGCCCTGCCCGCGCTGCCTGGTCTGCAGCCCCTTCACCTCACCCTCCGCACTGGCCTCACACCCCCTCTGCACTCAGCTCCTCACATGCCCGCAGCACACGCTGCGCCTCCCTTTCAGGGCCTGCCAGCAGCTTCTGTGGCCTGGCAGTCAGAGCCAAGAGAAGATCTGGGAAGCAGAAGTGGGATATCTGGACTGGAGCGTCTTTTGTGACCCAGCCAGGGTTGGTGAGTGGAAGAGACGAGGTAGGTGGGATCATGGGCTGTGGCCTACATAACCTCCTCCGAGCTGTAAGCTGCGAGGGCTGGGCCTGTTTGCCTTGATCAGTGCCTGCCCAGGGCTCAGCGCACAGTAAGTGCTTACTGAATGGAAAGTCAGGCACCCATCTGAACTGCACACAGAATCCTGGGTCCTGTAGCAAAAGGTGAAGGGCAACCCTGGGCTTACTGCCACCCTACCTCACCAAACTCTCGCCCCCCTTCAGGCCCCAACTCCTGAATTCAACTTTGCCCATGAAACAGCCCCGAACTACAAAGGGTGACTACCTATCCCTCAGCTTCCTGTGACATAGCCATCCCACCCCATGGATGCCCTGCAACCCTGGGCGGAGATGTGCTCAGCTCTCTGCCTGAGCGGCAGCCTCATCTTAACCTTTAAGCCACACACAGAACAGCACGTGAAAAATACTTTCAGTGAAGTGTCAACTGCTGTTCTCAGTGAGGTAAGTGCAGCAGCCCCTGGTCAAATACCTGCCCACCTGGACTGGAGGAACCAATCAGTTGTGGGGCACCCCTCCCCATCAAGGCACCCGAGCTGTCCCAGGCTTGTTCTGTTTGTGAAGGCAGCAGCTGACCCACCCATAACGCCCCTGAGAAAGGGGCATTGTGCTACTGTAATTGCAGGTGGGAGCTGCTCTCTATGGAGCAACTGGAATCTGCTCACATTAAAAGGCCAGTAAGACTCACCTACCCAATTCAAATGGCCAGTTTCCCTCTGCCCCAGCTGCAAGCTCTCAGAGGCACCCCTCACCACACTCTCCCAGACCACCTCCACCCCGGAACTGCCATTCTGGGGCCCAGACACAGACACACGGAGACTATGAACCCCACCCACCCCAACAGTGAATCTGGCAGACAGGTCCCCAATCCCTCACCCAGGCTCCAAGGGTGGGTGATTCCCGCTGTTAGAATGTCTAGCTCCCAGGAACCCCTGCCTATCACTGCTCCCCAACCCTTATCTTGGGTCAGGCCGAACCAGCTGACCTATCAGATCCCCAGAAACCTTTCCTCAACAAGTGCCTTTTAGAAGGACCAAGGCCTCCCCGTGCCTGACCCAATCTGCCGAGAGGTCTGTGCATACCAGGCTGTGTAGACCACTGCTAACAAGAGTGGGGTGCACCTGCATGGTACACTTCCTAGCTGACTGAAGCACCCTCAGCCTGGCCCAGGGAAAGACCTAGTCCCAGCCCTGTCAATTCGCAGGCAAGGGCCCCAGGAGAGCCCTTCAATCTCTGGGTCTCATCTGTCTGTAAAACAGGATGTTATACCTGCTCTGTTCCTTTCACAACTGAGGTGCTGTCAGGATCAAATGTCATAATGTTCACTAAAGGGCTTGAAAAAGCCTAAAACACTGAGCGGAAGTTCAAGGGTTATCATTAGCTGGTCTACGTCCTGATTTACCAGGGATCCCTAGTTTGGTTTGGATCACTGCCTCAAACTAGCCGTGGATAAGCTAGGGTCTGTTTGACCTAAAGCTGCCCAGGGACGGGCATTCCATAAACCCCTCTTCGTCTTGTTAGCGATCTCCTCTCTTGCGGCCGTTCTCCTCGGAGTCAAAGCTGACCCAGGGACAACCAGTCTTCTCAGACCCCTCCCCAGCCCTAGGGGCCCAGTATTCAGAATCCCAGAGTCCTCAAGTCTGCCCCAGACCCTGGGCATCAGCAGTACATGGAAAGATGGACAAGTCCTTGTTCCAACCAACCTGGGAACCTGGATTCTGGTCGTTCCCCAGCCCCCCTGGGGTGTCACTCACGCTGTCATCCACCAGGTAGGCATTGATGAAGTGGGCCAGCAGGTTACAGCCCCACAAGAAAACCACATCTCCCAGGAGGTGAGGGATTAAGCCGCTAAAAAACAAGGTGAGCAAAGATGAGCAGGGGAGGGAACAGAACATTTCCTGGGGGCTCCACACCCAGGAAGCAGACAAGGATGTTCCAAGCTCAAAACTTCAGCATATCCACCAGCACCACCTCAGGAAGGAAGCCTGCAGGGGCCACATGGGCCAGCAGCTATCCACAGCAGGAAAGCAGTGTTCCTTTCTCCACAGGGAGTGGGGGATGGTATGTGTGTTATATGCTACATCTGACAGCACAAGTTAATGGTCTCACAAGCAGTGTTCAAACCACAGTAGCTGGGCCTTAAGATGTGAATGGTGCAAAATCCGGGATTTTCCAATGCAGATCATGAAAGAGTACCTACACGTTAGCAGTCTTCTCCTGGCCTTTTTACCCAATCCACTCTCACAAAACACTTTGCTCAGTGCACCTGTATTCACCCCTGGAATGTTCCACTAAAAACATTCCATACAAGGTTTTACAAGGAGGGCTGACTTTTAAAGTGATGGCCTTTAGAATGCGCATCTCTACACACTGTGAAGTTTCCCTAAAACACAGTGCTGAGGGCAAAAAGCCAGATTGAGACCAGTGGGTCCTGTGTGATACTTGTGGGTTTTGGGGTTTTTTTCATTTATTTATTTTTGGCTGCGTTGGGTCTTTGTTGCTTTGTGTGAGCTTTTCTCTAGTTGCGGCGAGCGGGGGCTACTCTTCGTTGCAGTTCATGGGCTTCTTGTTGCGGTGGCTTCTCTTGTTGTGGAGCACGGGCTCTAGGCGCGTGGGCTTCAGTAGTTGCTCCGCGGCATGTGAGATCTTCCTGGAGCAGGGCTCGAACCCGTGTCCCCTGCATTGGCAGGCGGATTCTTAACCACTGTACCACCTGGGAAGCCCTTGTGGGTTTTTTTTTTGAATGTGTTTATTTGCTTGTTTAGATATAGAAGGACATGGAAAGATCTTCAGGAAAACAGCTATCTCTTGGAGAGAGGACACAGAATTATGATTTTTGAACTTTCAAAAACCCTATTTCAAAATATTTGAAAGTTCAAAATACCTGTAACACATCTATGATATAAGAGATATAAATAAAGTGAACCTTCATGAATGCAATTTCCAATCCTGTTGCTTCCACCTGTGCTCAGACTGACTTTTCACAGGTACACTCAGTGCTTTCTGAGTACATACATCACCTGTTCTACAAACACGTGAAGAAAAAAAAAGAACCCAATGGGTAAGGTATCTGTTGTGTGGGAATCCTACTCACACACCAGAAAACAATGTATACAATGAGTGTGAAAAACACCAGAGGTGGTGATATGTTTTATGGTGATAGTGTTTTAGGGTCTGAAGCACCAGTCACACAAGGAAATATTTATTCACACACATATATATGCACACCCATACATATGTGTACATATACATAGATATGAATATACATATGAATATGTGTGTATATCAATCAAGGTTTATCAACCTTGACACTATTGACCTTTAGGTCTGGATGATTCTTTGTCATGGGGGCTGACCTCTGCACTGCAGGATGTTTAGCAGCATCCCTGGTCTCCACCCACTAGATCCCAGCTGGGACCATCAAAAGATGTCTCCAGACATTACAGATGTCCCCTGGAGCAAAATCACCTCCTAGTGAGAACCACATACACACACACACGCACACACACGCCTACACAGAGAACACCTGGCCGATGATGAAACCACAAGATGAGTTAACAGAGAGCCCCATGTCTAGCGTACTGTGTATTTAACAGCATGTATGTCTCTGCCTAGACCTTAAAAAGGCAAAACAAAAAATATTTGTCAAGCCTGGATTTTGGGTTCTGTTTGTAGTTTACAGTCTTTTCGGTGTGAGCTTTCTTTACAGGTGGAGTAAGATGGGTGTGAGACACCAAGGAGGGCAGGGGGTCTGGGGCCCTCAGGAGATTGTGTGCCCTGAAGACATCTGCTCTGCAGAAACACAGGCCCAGCACAGCCAGGTTTTGACTTTTTAAGAGAAGCCAGAAATAGGGATTGTTTTGTGAAACATCCTAAATGTTGAATATGAAGAACTAATTTCTCAGAAGCGCTATGTCAAACAGGATCCATCAGCTGGAGTCAGCCTGTGACCTGCCACGGCTTGACCTTCAGCCCATGTCACAGATTTTCAGTGACTTTTCAGCAGTGAAACCAAGGACGATGGAAGACCTGAAGACCAGCCTCGTGCCCATCCCCAGCCCTGGAGCACATGGACGGGGACAGTGGGGTCGGGGGTGGGGTTTTGGCCACCCCCACCCCCAGCGTGCTGGACAAACAGTACCATTTCTGTGTAAGCCGCAATGTGGATAGGGCTGGGCAGCTTTGTTCCCGACGATCCGTAGCTCGCATAGGCCATGGAGCTCTACGGGCCAAGGAGCAGCTGCTCAGGCAGGGACAGAGCCCTGTGGTTAGTCTGAGGCCAACAGCTGTGGCCTGAGGGCTGAGAATGCACCTGTTAGTAGAGCCATGCTCCGTGGCCAGTTATGGGGTGTATAAACTCACGTACACAAAGAATCCCAGCAGCCCCTCTTCTTTGAAAATCTTCCCAATGGAGCTCAACACGCCGCTGTGGAGAACACAGGGATACAACATCACCTGGGCACCTTGAAGAAGCCCATGCCCTGGGGTGGAGCAGAGCCTGCCACCCTTGCTCAGAGCCATCCAGTCCTGGCCGGGATGGGGAGCGGGCATTCTCTGTCACCATGCAGAACCCAAGTGTAGATGATTACAGCTCTGTTGGGGAGTGAGAGGGCGTCTACATAGTTTATGGAGACTGGGGAAACTCAACCACCCACAGGGGCAGAACCCCAGTTCTCTACTGCTTTTTTCTATGGATCTGGAATGTAGGAATGAACCTTCTAGCCTGGGCTGCTGCAGAGGTGACGGGACCTTCTCCTGCCTGGCTCTAGTGCTTACTTCTGGCTGAACAACCTTCTGGCAAAGAAGCCTGCATGTCCCACAGAGAGAGGAGGAGAGGTGGCGAGTGGAGAGAAGCACCTTCCCAGAGGGCAGAGAAGGAATACAGGGCCCTGCAGCAGGAGGCCCTGCGATCAGACTGCACAGACGCAGCTTGGGAAAAGGCGTCTGGCCCTCCCCAGCAGGGAACTCGTGGATGTGCACCCTGCCCACTGCAGCCTGTTAGAGATCACAGGACAGGCTGGGATGTCTTAGGTGTGAAATGCAAAGGAGACTCAAGTGCAACCTCTGTGACCTGTTCTGCACAGACGCTCTGCGAAGCCGAGAGGGCCAGGGTAGCCTAGGAGAAAGACGGTGGGAGCCAGAGCCCTGCCAGGCCCCTCTACCCTTCCTCTCAGGACAGTGGCTCAGCCCACTGGGTTCTAAGCTCACTGGGGGAATGGGCCAATTCCCCATTAGTGAACTCAAAATGAGGCACCATGGCAGCCGAGCTTCCTGGGGCAGTGGCCCCAAGGACAGCAGCAGAAAACAACTGAACCCAGGAAATAAGAATCTGAGCGAAGAAGGATAACAGATGCATGTACTCCTGCCATGAGCCTCCAGGACCCACCTCCTGTCCTGCACTGAGCCTCAGAGGGGCAGGGAGGGCACAAGTGCCACAGGGAAGGACTGTGTCAACACACCTATGCCCCTACAGATCCAGCTTAGTGTCAGGCATGGCAAGTGCTGGGGTAAATATTTGGTAAACAATGGAAGGGCCAAGCCCCAAGGCCATGGGGTGGACGGCCGCTTAGGAGAGGATGAAACAAACTCTAAGCTGGCTTCTGTGACAGCTGGAAAAAGTGCTAGGGCATAACCTAGGGGGTCTAGGAGGGAACCCCGCCAGGGCTCCTAATCCAACTGGACTCCTATCCCACTCACCCCTCTGCAGGGCATCTAGGCTCATCCAGGGCTGCCCCAGACAAGAGAGGGAGAAAATACCCCTGGACCCAGACTATGGAAGCCACTACCCCATTCCTCTGAAGCTGGCACACAAGAAATAGGGCAGACAAGGGGCAGCAGCTGACCACAGTATGGCCTGTCCTGGCAGACTCTGAATAGTGTCAGGGCCACTCCTGCCAACTCTAAGAATTACCCACCTGTACTTGGCCTCCCGTCCCACAAACTGGACCATGCAGCGCATTGAGATGACTGAGGAAAGAGAAAACACAAACAGGTGACATGGTGGCCAAAGCCCAAGACTCCCCAGCTATAGGTGGGGTGGCCAGCACAGTGGCCACTGCACAGCACGGCCCGCGTCAGAGCGCGGGAGGGGAGGAGGGCCCCTGGGAGTCCCCATCATACCCCATGACCATGGCATCCCCCTTCTTCTGGCTGGGAAGAGCCCCAGCTCCCTGTGGGCTGAACTCCCAGCCAATTCCAGTGACACTACTTCCCAGTAATTCTACCGCTGCCCGTCTACAGCCCATGAGGGGTCACCCCACGGCTGAGATGCAGTCTCCAACGGGGCGGCTCACCATGCAGGGGGTGGGCCAGCATGCGGGACACGCACTGCATCATCATCTCATAGGAGGTCTGCAAGAGAGCAGAGGGCGGGGACTTGGTCTGGCCTGTCTCTGGAAGTGGTGCTCACTGGGAGCTATAAGCGCTTACATGGGAAAAACTGGGATCCTGCAGCACCCATGTGGGGTCGGTCTACCTCAGATGGCCCCCCTTGTCACCCACACAAAATTCCCTCTACCCAGGACTGCTGCCAGGTCCCAGGCCAGGTCCTGTAGCGGCTGAGAGGCTTTCTGTGATTCCCTGCAGTGGCCCTGCTGGGGCTCCTTCCACATCCCACTCCACTGTGCACACAGCAGGCCCCAACTGTGACTCTTCAGTGACCTGCCCAACTGGGCAGTGAGAGATAATCAGGCTCTCCTCTCTAATTCCAGGTACCCACCTCCTTCACCACTTTCTTCAGAGAAGTCTTCATGTCATCTTTGTTGGCAACCTGCTCAATCTCATCTGGAGGGAAAACCTGAGATGCAAAGAACAAAGGTGGATCAAAAGCAAAATACAGGTGCACCTCTTCGATGTAACTTTGAAGGGATGGAGAGGGCAGGAAACAGCTCCTACTATTTTCTTGGCCATGTCCATTAGCTGGGCCCACCTTGGGTAACCCCCTGGGGCTGGAGATAGGGGGGGAGAAAGTCCCTGCCTAGTGTCACATTTGTAAGAAAGCAGGCAGATGGTGAGGCAGGGGCCTTTCCAATTGAGGAGACTCGGCGTTGGACCACCAGGCCTTGGAGTCTGGCTTTGGTGCTGGGGTGGAGCCCTGACCAGTCTGGGAACCGAGAAGCAGGACCGGTGCACATGGCTGCCTCCAGGGGTGGCAGGGGGCTCAGGGGAACCTCGGGCAACCGGTCCTGGCTTCACCCCGGGCTCACCTTCTTCATGCTGCCCCGGGTCACGGTGGAGAGGGCGTTGGACATCAGCCGGGGGCTCAGGCCTCGGAATAGCCCTATCTTCCCATCCACTTGCACAATGTACTTGGCTACAAGAAAGCAGAGGTGGCAGCGTCACGTTCAGCCCAGTCGCACCCACTCCTGGGTCACATTCACACCCAGACCAGACGCAGCTTGCCCTTCTTCAGTACCTGCTGACTTCAGTCATGGAAAGGAGCACCGTCCAGGACCCCGGAAGCAATCGGGCCCCACCCCAAACATCTTCTCTAGCCCATTTCTTTTTGTAAAACCTTCAAAACACATTTTTCTGACAAACAAGTTCATACGTTTTTCTTTTTGTAGTTTGGAAAATCTACTTGGCAAACTTAGCTACAGTTTCTCAACTCAGCAACTTAAGTGCTGCAACCTAGGAACCAATTCTGTTGCTTATAAAAAATGTTTTTCTCTGGGAAAAGAAAAAATGGAAAAAGGCAACCACAAGCAATGATGAAGTTTGCAACCTAAGGTAGGGAAAAAGGAAAAGGAAGGGCTCCCAGGGGAAAGGCTCTGGAGTGTCCTTTGAGCATGCCACGGAGAGGGCAATCCCCACCTCGTCACTGTGCTGCATCCAGGATCCCACCTGGCACCTACTGGCATTTATTAATTACAGGGGGGAAAGCCAGTGGAGAAGTAACTAAAACAGAGGCACCAATGAACTATTCTATAGAAAAAAACTTAAGTGGTCAGAGAAGCTGGACCCTGACCCTGTTTGAGTCAGTGTTTTTTTTTGTTTGGGTCTCTAAAAGGATACTTTCTTAATGTTTTGCTGCTTTATTCAATATCAACTTTTAAATGATGTTCAAAAAGGAGACGTATATTTATAAACCTGCATACCTGGAAGCTGGCAGAACATTCCCTCAGACAATGTGCTCCCCTTGAGCCAAGACTTTAGCTCTCCAGCACCGCACAGTGGCGGGAACCAGCAAGGGAGGGTGCCGTTCTCTCCTCTGCCACATGTCTGCCAACAGCAATTCCATGTGGCAGCTGTATGGGCTTCCCCTGGTCCTGAGAGCACCTGGTACCTGCATGTTTGGCTTCCTGAGATTGGGGTGGTGCTGGAAAGGGAGGAGTAGGAGGAGAGAGGACACTGGGCGACGTGGCCAGGACGCCCTGCTTCACGGAGTGAACAGGCAGAAGGAAGGTTTATTTTGGGGGAGGGGAGCGCCAGTCAGCAGAAGGGAGAGCTGGCGGGATAAAGCCTGAGTGTGGTCTCCAGCAGGACACTTAACCCCTTTCCATCCAATTTCCTAGCCAGAAAAAAAGGGAGTAAGGACCCCTATTTCTCCCCATCTCAGAGCTGAATTACGAACAAGTGAGAACAGACAAAGGTATGCAGAAATGTCTACAGAGGCCTTTGTGGGCCCAAAGGGCTCCCTGGCTGGCAAGGGGCTCCATCATTCCATGGTTTCGCTGTAGTCCCTGAAAACTCTCCAGGAAGTTCTTTCTGGGAGAACACCAAAGAATGTCATGGCAGCTGTGGCGCTTTTCATAGCTGAGGGGGAGTAGTAGACCCCGTCCAGTCACTAGACAGCCAGACAGCTGAGCCCCTCCCCAACACCAGGAGTCTGCTTACACCACCTGCGCTGAAATAACATTTATATAAATGGCGGGGGGCGGGGGGAGCGCCTCAGAACTCTGCTCATCTTTGCAAGAGGCAGTAAGGTGATTGTCAAGACCCCTCTGCCCTGAGTCCTTTCGGGAATGACTGTGTGACATGAACAGAGATGATCTGGGTTCCAACCTCTCTATGGCTAGAGCCTGCATAGTGGTGTATGGAGGAATCACACGTAGGGGCTGGCAGCCCGCCACCCCGGCCTCCCGCAAATCCAGCGTCGCTCTGCATACCGGCTTCGTTGCACTACAATGGGGGGTGCCTCCCTGATTCTGTGACGTCCTCCTTCCCCATGCTGACAACTTTTAAGTGAAACAAATACGAACAGATTTCCCCGCAAAATGACATGTTCCACCTGGCTCCACCTGTACTCAACAATGAGGTGGCAAAACTGGAAGGGAAACATGACATCAGATTCCGCCAGCAGGGTGTGAAGTGAAAAAAAGGTGACAGGAGGCGAGGCCCCAAGTTATTTGGCAGAAAGAAAGATTTTCAGAGAAGATGCTAGACTGACTAAACAGATAAGATGAGCAGAGGTGGAGGGAGCATGAGAGGGTCAGCCTGGCTGTGAACACAGAGAGCAAAGGCACATTTAAAGAAGTCTGGGGAGTTCCCTGGTGGCTAGTGGTTAGGATTCCAGGCTTTCACTGACGTGACCCGGGTTCAATCCCTGGTCGGGGAACTGAGATCCTGCAAGCCATGTGGTGTGACCAAAAAAATAAAAAATAAAAAAAATAAAGAAGTCTGGGAAGGGTGGGGACCGGGAAAGGGACTGGGATGGTGGATCTGAAATGGCCTTGGCCAGCTGGGGGTCAGGGGATGAGCAGCACAGGCAGCCGGTGGGCTTTGCTGGCATCAGGGAAGCTCCACCATGGTGGGCTTCCTGATGGAGAGACCCTCTGGCAGGCAAGGCTGCAGGGGGCGGAGGGGGCGGGTGCCTGTATGGAGGGCCTGGGCATGAAGAAGCTGATAAGCAGTATGGGGCCAGAGCAGTTAGCAGCCTTCCTGAGCTCGAGCAGCTCACGAGGGCACACCAGGGGTGAAGCCGAGACCCACCATGTACTGTTCTACACCCAGGGGATGGAGATGCCTGAGTGAGTAGGCACCACTGCCTGAGGAATGCAGGGGAACAGGACAAAGGAAAAGAACCCAGGAGGCCCCAATGGGCCTCCTGCTGGAGGAGAGGGAAAGCAAAAGAACTGCTAAAAGGGCAGCCAGACTGCTCAAAAGGCAAACAAAACAAAACAAAACAAAACAAAACGGATATCCGCCCCCTACTCCTGCTTCCAGGCATAGCCTGGACCTGTCTCCCTATCCTGCTGCCTGGGCTGACAGCTGGCAGCTCACACAGAGGAGCTGGACCAAAGCTGCTCCCATCCTGACACCCTGCTGCCTCTGACCCCTCTTCCATGTCAGCTCTGACTCTGGGTGCCCCATGCTGCCCAGTGTGCTCCCCAGGGCCACCTGGGCCTGTTCCCTGTTTGACGCTCTCTCGGTGTGGGCTTTCCTGCCCGGGAAGCACACTCACCATAGGTGAAGAAGCTCGGCAGGTAGAGGACCTTCCTCCCCAGCACATTGGTCCCAATGGTGGGGGGCATCGGCTCATGACCTACCTTCAGAATCAACAAATACAAAGGGAAAGTCAGATTCTACTGTTGATTCAGTCTCACTACTTCTCACCTTTCCCAGGCCTCTAACTCTTCTCCCACAAAGTCTAATCCTATTTCTGTTGATGTTTTCCCCATCAAAACATACCCAGAATTTCATCAGTGTCTATTACTATCAACATCGTGTAATCTCCCAATGCACAGAAATGTCCAGTCCCAGATACCACCCTTACCATAATCCAAGTCACCCCATCCCTCAACATTCTTACCTTCCAATTCCAGATATTTCCAGTGCAGAAACCGCCCCCCCCACGTTTATGTACTTCAAACCCCATGCTTATCTCAGAAAAAAATCTGTTAATTCTCATCGCCAGGTTAAAACATCAGTCCAGTCTCAATCTCAAATGTGGCAACACCAAAACACATCACACCCAAATCTCAGCCCCAAACTTCAGATAGCTCACTCACCCCACACTCAAATTTCTTACTGTTCCCACTGCAGATGTCAACAAATCTGTCCCTCTCACTCCCAGCCACCTCGAATCCCAGCTGTTCCTCAAACAATTCCTCAACTGTGATCTAATCTTGATCACCCCATATCCCTGTGACAGAATGACCCCCTCATTTCTGCAGGGTTATCATAATTCTTGCTGTATAGATGCTGGTTATAATTAAGGTATGTGTTAAATTCATGGGTGGGTGAAGGACCAAGCCACGCAAGCCTCTGTGAGGAGAGGTTTCTCCGGAGGGGTGAGGCCATTTGTTATGCTGCCGATTAATGAGAAGATTCTCTGCTGCCAGGCAAGGGGCAAGGTGTCTAGGAGACCAGCGCCTTAGTGGGGTGTGAGAAGGCCCTTCCCTGGCAGGGGACCAGGGCCGTAGCCCTGTCCCTCAGAGCAGGCCAGACAAATCCATGGACCAGAGGAGCTCCTCTTGGATGTGGAAGAGGGTAGAAACAGCAGGGTTGGGAAGCTCTGCCTTAAATAGAACTAGGTATGCTTCCAGTGTTTTCTGGGCTCAATTTCCTTTCTTCCTCACCTTAGTCAAGTGTTTTGAAGTTCAGGCTGTCCCTTATGAGCTACATGACAGATTACTGATCATAAATTAAGAAACTCCCTCCACGATGGAGAAATTCTTAAAAGAAAAACATCTAGCCCAGGGGAGTTGAAGGAAAGGGATGGCCAGGTGAACCAAGCAGTTAGCCCTCCCCTTCCAGACCTTTCCACTTCTGGGTTAAAAGCTCGAAGGTTCTGAGGTTAGTTTTGCTTTGATTTTGTTCTCTCATACAGGAAGCACTCCATTTACACCCTCAACTCCAAGTCTGAGCCAATGTTCTTTTGCTGCCTTATCCACTCCAGTCACAACAACTGGGGAGGCCCATCAATTCCAATTTCACCCTTAAACCTGCTTGTTCCCTTCATCCTGTATCCCCATGGCTCCCAAAGCTGTTGAGTCTATTTTCTCAACTTCCACCTGTGTTATCAAAGGCACACTGACCCTATCTCACTCCTATTCCCTTCACTCTCAAGTTCTAATTATTTGTTCCCAAGTCTACTCACCCAATTTCATCCCCCAATCTGTTAACCCAGTCCTAACCACAGCCAAAGCTGTGGTTCTATACCATATACCGGCAGAGCCAGTCCCTCAAATCTCTAACACCCAAAAGCCCTGATCTCAGGCACTGCATTCTTACTCACTTAATCGGGACAGCACCCAGATCTGCCAACCCAATCCTGCCATGCACCCCCAAACTGGGATCTTCGTTTTTGCAAGATGTTATCTCTGATTCCCAAGCTATACCCATTAACATTTCACCCTCAAGGACTTCCCTGGTGGCACAGTGGTTAAGAATCTGCCTGCCAATGCAGGGGACGCGGGTTCAATCCCTGGTCCACGAAGATCCCACATGCTGTGGAGCAACCAAGCCTGTGCGCCACAACTACTGAGCCCGCGCTCCGCAGCAAGAGAAGCCACCTCAGTGAGAAGCCCGCTCACCGCAACGAAGAATAGCCCCCGCTCACCACAACTAGAGAAAGCCCGCGTGCAGCGATGAAGACCCAACACAGCCAAAAAGAAATTAATTAATTTTAAAAAAAAAGGACTTCACCCTCAAATATGTTACACTCAGCACCAGCTGCGTTCACATCGGGTAGACCACCTGTCACCCCAACTGGGCTCACCCATCAGTATCCACCCCCCATACAGTTCTTCTCACCCTCTGGACTTCCTCATTCCCCAAATGCCTATCCTCCTTCATTCTCCATTCTCTCTCATTCCTCAACTGCCTTTCCAAGTGACCCTTATTTCAATTTTCTTCTCCTGTAAACCAAACCTACCAAGGTCCAAATGATGGAGCCACTTCCAGGTTCCTTCACATGGAGCACCCCCCCCCCCCCCCGGCCTTTCCAAGTGACCCTTATTTCAATTTTCTTCTCCTGTAAACCAAACCTACCAAGGTCCAAATGATGGAGCCCCTTCCAGGTTCCTTCACATGGAGCCCCCCCCCCCCCGCTTCCTTGTACTCCAACATCCTCCATTCCACAGACACTCCTATCAGCCACCCTGAAGTCCCAGCCCTCACCCAATCTCACTCCATCATCCTTGCTTCTCATCTCAAGTACCACCAGTTCCGAAGCCTCAATTTCTCTACCAAAGCTGGAATCTCTATTGCTGCAAATACAACCTGAATCTTTATAAGTAAAGGAGCCCTCACTCCCAAATCACAACCAAACGCCAGTCTCGACCTTCCCCCGTCAGCCATTTCCAAATCTCAGTCACAATTAGATTCTAGTCAGGCACCGTAATGTCCCTGAAGGAATCTGCTCGTTCTTTGTCACATTCCTTGTCACACTCCCAAAATATACTGCCCCCATTCCTCAGATTTCAATTATTCCTATTCTCAAGTCCCTCTCATTCCAACTGTATCTCCCATTCTCAGTCCATTACCAGGACAGTAAATATGATACCCATTTGCCTCAACTCAAATCAAATCTCAAGTTTTGGTTAGGCCATCTCAACACCCCCCCCCCAACTTAACTGAAAATTCTAGGCTAAATCTTCAGATATTAGTCCAAGCCCAAACCATCCACATCTACATTGTGCTCATCTCAAGTCATGCCCACCTAATTCTGCCAAATGCACTCCCTCCACCTCAGCTTGGGCACCCCCTTCCAGTTCCATCTCTCCCTTTCTCAAGCAGCCCAATTCATCTGTAAGGCACTGCTGGTCCCACCAAATATGCCAAGTGCCCCTGCATGCCTCGATTCCAGAGACATCCTACCTTGGCCTCATTTTCTGCCAGCCCCTACACATCCTGCTACCCTGTGCTCCAACTGGCCCTTCTGCCCAATTCCACTACGCCCATCCCCCTCAGCCCATCCCCCCATACAGCTCCCACCCCCAACCGTGAATTCAATGTTCTCCTCCAAATGCGTCATCCCTTTCCCCCTAAAAGCCTCCTGGCTCCCCATTCCAGACAAATCGCCACTACCCCTCCCCCACTGCGTCGCCCTATCTGTTCCCCTCCCCCAAAGCACGTCATCCTGTCCCCTCCTCCCATCAAATCTGTCGTCGCCATCAAATCCAGAGCCCCCATCTCCTGTAAACCGATTCGCCTCCGCCTCTCCCACCAAATTCCGTCACCGTTAAATCCAGTCCCGGTCCCCTCCTCCCCGGAGTCTGATGCCCCTTTTTCTTTCCTAAATTTTTGGCCATGGCCCCCAGTCCTTTGTCCCCCCCACCCCAAACCGCTTTAAATCCATCTCTATCAAATCCAGAGCTCTTGCTCCCCTTCACCCTAAATATGTGCTCATCTTCTGAATATTCTGCCTTGGCCCCCAATCCTCCTCCCCACCCAATCGCCCAAACTTCCCACCCCTCCCCCAATTCTGTTGTTTTTTCTTTCACCCCAAAATGCTGCCACTTCCCTCCTAGTCCAAGTCCATCGCCTCCATTCTTTCGTCTCCCAAACCTGTCTCTCCGTTCCATCGCCCCCTCCCCTGCACCCCCACATCCCTTGTTCCTTCCACCCTCTCCCAAATCTGTCGCTGACCCCTTTGCCCCCTTCTCCTGCATCCCCAAACCCATGCCCCCTGCATCCCCAAATCCCTCACCGTTTTCCTCCTCTCCCGCTCCTTCTGCGCACCAACCCGCCGTCCCCGCCCCCTCTCCTCAAATCCGTCGCCATCGACTCCCCCACCCCCATCCTCCTCCAGATCCTGACCTGTCACCTTCTTATCAGCCCCCACCTCCCTATGGCGCCCCTGGTCCCACACCTGGATGAGCAGCTTCACGTAGAGCAGCGGGTGACTGAGCGCCGTCACTCCGGCGCCCAGCGCCACGAAAAGAGCCTCGGTGGTCGGGGCGTTGTCCCCGGAGCCCAGGCCCCCGGATGCGCCGTCCATCCTGCGGGCCGAGGGTTGCGCCGCAGGCCGAGGGTGGCGCGGATGTGCGCGGTGTGCAGGCGGCGGATCGCGAGCCCGGGCCTCGACCCCCGCCGCCGCTCCGCCGCGAGCTCCAGCTCCTGCTCCGGCTCCCGCCATCCCCGCGGCACCGCCGCGAGCCCAGGGCGCCACTTCCGGGTCGGAAGCCCCCCATGGCAAGGGGCGGCGAGGTCACTCCCCCGTCACGTGACGGGACGGGCGCCCTGCCCCTCGCTGGCGTCAGGGGGCGGGGTCGGGCCGCACCACTCGCGGCCGCGGGGGAGTGCAGGAGTGTAGGCGAGGCGGTCGGTAAGCGACGGATGCGGTTCTCGGGCGGGGTCGGGTCCTGGCTCAGCTCTGGGCTGTGAGCCGGGGGTCAGTGGTCGCGGGCGACCGGGCCGTGTGTTCGGAGACTGTGAAGGCGGCCGCAGGCCCGGGCGCTCCCCCGGGATCACCGGAGAGCGGCAGGGGTGGGGCTCGGATGTTCTGGAAGCCAGATGCCCCCAATATGGTCTGAGGAACTTCCAATCCCCCACCCAGGCTTCGGGAGTGTTCTTCGCAGTTCTGGGCCCGCCTTTTTGCGGCCCTGTTTCCGGGCCCCGCTGCCTGCGAGGCTTCCCACTGCAGGCCGAGTCCCTTCGCGCTCTCCAGCCTTGTCTCACCCCTTTGCCCTCCCCACCAGACCAAATGCATTTGCACCTCGGTGGTTGTTGGTCCTCCTCCTTTGCAGTTGACCCTTCGCCAACCTGCCTTAGAGCTCATGGTTAGAAAATGTGTTTTGCCCTATTTACTTCACTGGGTCTGAAGGTTTTATTTAGTCCTTCAGTGTGAGCACACGCAAGCGTTCTGCTAGGCGCCGATAGTCTAGTCGTTAGGTAATAAAAATGAGTAATAACTGGCTCTTAAATCGCACTTATTTGTGCCACCTTTTGAAGTGCTTTGCAGCGAGATAAGTATGTTCCTCTCAGCAGCCCTGTGAGCAAGGTGTTTATTCCAGCATGTGTCCTGTTCACGTTTGTCACCGTGCCCATCCCCTGCAAGAACACCTAAAGCCTGCTAGTTGTGGATGCTCAATAAAAGTTTGTTTCAACGGAAAGCAAGTATCCAAGAGTTGGCAGGGACACAGCAATGGGTGATCTGATCCCTTTGTCTGTATTTATCCTGTGTTCATTGTGAGAAAGTTCTTTAGAACAGACATCTGCCTTCTGACCCCTTAATCCGGGTTTGAAGTCTGCCCTTCCTGCCTCGCCCCCTGAAAAGCCACCTCCCGGCTGGCTACTCCTGACAACAAATACTCTGTACACTTTCCACATCTCAATCCTGTCAGTCGGCCTCCCTCACTTGCTCTCTCCCCCAAGCTGGCCTCTCTAAGCCAGGTTTGTTCTGGTCTGAGTCACTGGAAAGCCTCCTAGCCCTTTCAGGTTACAGTGTTTGCCTCTTCAAACACAGCTTTCATCAAACCTACCTCCCACCCCCAGGAGCACTTTAATTGACTTCCTTTTGCCTGGATTCTGATTTAGCTTCCTTAACAGGGACCTTAAAGTCAGCTTCATCCACAGCCTCATCTAATGTTACAGCGCCTTACTAACTCCACCCGGAAGAGTGGGGTTACCTTCCTTCTGGAACTTCCTCACACAAACCTTCTCCTCCTCTGGGCTTTTCCTCCCCATGTTTCTGCAGCTCTCTGTTTTTCCTTCTGAACCCCATAATGTGTCCACCATTAGGCCTTTTACTCTGCCTTACGTAGTCATCTTACTTTTTGTGTGTATTTCGTCCTTTCAAAATGGTTCCCTGTAAAGCAGCTGCATTGTGTTGCATTGTTTTGTATCTTTGCACCAACTATGGTGATATACATATGGTAAATGTTCAGTGAATTGTTTTTAAGTAATTGAACAGTTTAGCCCAAGAAATTAAAGTAAAAATAGGTCAGTTAAAGCTGTTAGATCCCTAGGGAATGAAGTGGAAGCAAATGCAAAACTGCCCTGTAGCTATGTTTCCACAACTCAGGGCTCATAGGGACAAAAAGAGGAAGAAAAAAAAAATCCTCACGATAAAAATATTACAAACCACTCAAAAACATTCCATTACAAGAGTAAATGCACAAAACAGGAGGGTTAATACTCGTGGGAACTTGACATAATAAGCAATCTGAAAGAAACTTTAAGGGGAAAATGGTAGTTTTCAAATGAAGGCAAAGATAAAGAATAGAAAGTGCTGAATAAAAAAAGAAAAGGACATTGTGAAAAAAGAAGAGGTATATTTGAAAAGGAATCAAATAGCTCATCTAGAAATGAAAAGTATACTCACTGAAATGATTGAGTGAAAGAAAATCTTGCTCAGTATTCCCTCTACTGAGCAACCTGGCAGTATGTACTCAGAGCTATGAAGCAGTTAGCTCTGGGCTGGTTAGTGCCTCCCTGTGACTGCCTCCTCACAGGGCTTACCGTGCAGCACTGTGGCTGCCTGCTTTCCTGTCAGTCTCCTCATTAGACTGTAAGTTCTTGGAGTCCAGTGACTATCCTATTCATGGTTGGCACAGTGCCTGGCACGTGGTAGAAGCCCACTAAATATTTGCAAGAAAATGAATGAGCAAATATACTTTTAACAGTTGTACAAAGTATTTATGGTAGCACCACTTAAAGAATGAAAACTTGGACTTCCCTGGTGGCACAGTGGTTAAGAATCTGCCTGCCAATGCAGGGGACACGTGTTTGATCCCTGGTCCGGGAAGAACCCACATGCTGTGGAGCAACTGCACCCATGTGCCGCAGCTACTGAGCCTGCGCTCTAGAGCCTGCAAGCCACAACTACTGAGCCCACTTGCTGCAACTACTGAAGCCCACGCGCCTAGAGCCCGTGCTCCGTAACAGGAGAAGCCACTGCAAGAAGACCGCACACCGCAACAAAGAGTAGCCCCTGGTCACCGCAACTAGAGAAAGCCTGCACGCAGCAACGAAGATCCAATGCAGCCAAAAATAAATTAAAAAAAAAAAAAGAATGAAAACTTTAGGGGGCTTCCCTGGTAGCGCAGCAGTTAAGAATCCGCCTGCCAATGCAGGGGACATGGGTTTGAGCCCTGGTCCGGGAAGATCCCACATGCCGTGGAGCAACTAAGCCCACGCGCCACAGCTACTGAGCCTGTGCTCAAGAGCCCGCGAGCCACAACTACTGAGCCCATGTGCCGCAGCTACTGAAGCCCGTGAGCCTAGAGTCCGTGCTCTGCAACAAGAGAAGCCACCAAAATGAGAAGCCTGTACACCACAACGAAGTGTAGCCCCCACTCGCCACAACTAGAGAAACCCCGCACACAGCAACAAAGACCCAACGCAGCCAAAAAAACTAAAGAAAAAAAAAAGAATGGGAACTTTAGGAAGACCCATATGCCCCAAAGTAGGATCAAACAAACAGCAGAGAATTAACAAGAAATATTACTCTTGGGAATTCCCTGGCGGTCCAGTGGTTAGGACTTGGTGCTTTCACTGTCGTGGCCCAGGTTCGGTCCCTGGTTGGGGAACTAAGATCCTGCAAGCCTCGTGGTGCAGCCAGGAAAAAAGAAAAGAAAAAAAGAATACTGTTGAGAATTGCCAAGTATATAGATCACCAGTCCCCGGGATCCTGTGGGGAACTACTGTTACAATGCAAAGAGAGAATATAAAATAGTAAGTACCCATTATTGCAACTAAATTGACATCACACAAACCAGGTCAGGAAGGAAGTTGAGGTGATGCCAAGGCCAGCATGAGAGTTCAGGCCTCACCTGGGGAAGCACAGGTGTCAGAATTTATCCTGGTATAAAGAAGATGGGTTTGTCTGGATGCAGGCTCTCTGTTTACTAGTTCTGAGCAAGAACGTTCTGGCTGCTGCCTCTGTTCACCTGCTTGCCTGGGGTAGGGGTGGGGAACACTGGCCTTCCGTCTGTACTGAATTCCTGGGATCCCATACTCTCCTTAACTCAGGAATCACCTCTTGTCCTAATTAGGCTAAAAGAAGGTACATTATAACTGTCATCATCTCAGGAATTCTGGCATATATTGCAGGTCACCGGATGTATTGGCATGCGAGATCACTAAGCCTTCTGGGAGGAACATGGATGACAGCTAAGGGACTAATAGGTCCCAAGGCCTTGGGATGAAGCCTACAAGAGTGAAGACGGGGAAATGGGGCCTCTACACTCTGGGGAGACATGGTGTGTCACGGTGAGCACAGTACTCACCCCAGGGTCAGAAAGGATGAAATGCCTGGTTGGTGTTCTGCTCTATCGTCCTCCTCTTGGTGGAGAAAGGTGAGTCCATTTACATCTCTTGTGCCCAATGTCTGTTTATCCTGAGATGTGGGAAGAAGTTTTCTTCTCCTGCAGTAAAAATCAAACATTAATGGGCCATTGCCCCGAGTCTGGGTGAGTTTGGAGATTAAGACGATACCAAGACTTTTCATTCAGTGGAAGAATATTTAGCACTGAAAAGACATGAACTATTGATATGGGCAATGACATGGGTGAGTCTCAAAAACATTATTCTAAGTGAAATAATCCAGGCACAAAAGAGCACATGTTGTATGATTCCATTTATATGAAGTTGTAAAACAGGGAAAATTAATCTGTGGGGATAAAAATCAGAACAGTGGTTACCTATGGAAGAATGACTGGAAAGAGGCATGAGGAACTTTCTGGGGGGAATAAAAGCATTCTTCATCTTGACTAGGGTGGTAGTTATGTGAGTAGGTACACTAGTAAAAGCTCACCAAACTGTACTCTTAAAATCTGGGCATTTTCTTGTAAGACCATTATTCCTTAATTAAGGAAGAAATATTTCAGGACTAAGATTCTTGTTTCCTTTTAGTGGGTATCTGAGGGTTTTAAAGGGTCAAAATGTCTATTGCACACATTCATGTGAATTCTTACATAACTAGAAAAACAAAACTATTCCCTTTTCCACTGCTTCCCTATCAGCCTATGGCAGAGTCTGAATCCTTATGTGCAGTGGTGTGCTGGTAAGTGTTTAATAACTGGCTCTCTAGGAAAAGAAAAGCCCTGATTCGTAGCACTTGCTGATTCACGTAATATAAATATTCTCACCATGGCTGATTTCATGCTGCTAGTGAGATGTCACTGAGCACAGACTTGGGAAGAAATGGGTACAGTTGACTTTCGCAAGCCAGTAGGAGCCAGCTCCAGCACACCCCTGCGGCAAGCCTTTATTGCAAAGCTTCCGGGGAGTCTTGGTGGAGCTGAGGGAGCAGCTGTTAAGCCGTGTGAGGCTCTGGGGTGAGCAGCCATTTCCTATTAGCTTGAACATGAAGGATGGCAGGAAGGAAGGGACACTGCTCTCAAGTGGTTGTGTATATACAACCCCGTTGTAAGAGGGGTCAGCCTTGCAAGATATGGCAGTTCAGCAGCTGTATAACTGGGGTTAGCAGCGTTTGGATTTTCAAGTGAAAATATGGGTTATTTCATTTAAAATTCCTGAATTCTCTTGGGGAGAACAAAGGGAAAAATCCAGTACCAGAGGGCCTGCACTCCCTCCTGACAAGAACAGGTCATAACAGGATAAAAGCTGC